CAAATATGGAAAGATCAAAAAAAAAAAAGTGGCACCAAATATGAAGAGACGATGCTAAAATTAAAGAAAAATATGCATGGTTGGGCTAAAAAGAAATTTAAGCTTGAGAAAATTTTATTTAGAGATTACAGAGTAATCATGAAAGCTACAAACAATCCTGTGTTGATAACTGAAAGGTTTTATGAAGTTCTTTGTCATACTCATGGTAAAGTAACACAGCATAGTGGCCAAAAACAGACTTGGAAGTCGATCTGTAAAAAATGGGGATATGTAAAGCAAGAAGTTATTGAACAGTTTGTTAACAATTGCACAGCATGTGCTGCAAGAAAACCGGCATTCCACCCTTTAGCGGCAAAGCCAATAATTGCCAAGAATTTTTTATCACGTATGCAGGTATGTTTTATTTTATTCTTGTAATCAAAATGAAAATTTTCTAATTGTATTTTTTATTTTGTAGATAGATCTAATTGATTTATCCTATATCCAGATGGCGAGTTCAAATACGTGTGTCATTTAAGAGATCATTTTAGTAGGTTCTCATGGGCAAGGGTGCTCACATCTAAGAGACCAATTGAAGTTGCATCGTATCTTTTTGATCTTTTTCACTTTATTGGATCACCACCCACCATTCTGCAATCGGACAACATAAAGGAGTTTGTTGCGCAAGTTATCAAAGAATTGGTTGAACTTTGGTCTTCTGTAAAAATAATCAATGGATGTCCCAAGCATCTCCAATCGCAAGGCCTTGTTGAATGGGCTAATGGCATTTTGGAACAAAAGCTGGGAAAATGGAGAGAAACCACTGATCAAGATGACTGATCATTTGGCTTGAGGTTTGTTGTAGTGGCTATGAATAATTCGTGGTGTAGATCACACAAAAAACACCCTATGAACTAGTTTACGGAGACAAACCCCGTAGTAACTGTACTCTGGTCGATGAACTATATGGTAATAATATCTTTGACAAAGAGGATGTACCAAATACAGTAGAGATCCCAAATAATGAAATTGATTTGGATGATGATATGACTGGTAATAAAAATAAAATAAAATAAAATAAGAATAATATACTATAAATTGATTTATTTAAATTCTTACCTTTTTTTTTTTTAGATGTTTTACCTGATAATAATGATGATCAGGAAATATTACCTAATCATTTTGGATGTTTAGTGTCTTCGCCTACTTTAGTGTCTTCTCCCGGTTTGGTATTTTCGCCTGGTCCATCTTCACCTGGTCCATCTTCGCCCAGTCCATCTTCGCCTGGTCTATCTTCACCTGGTCCATCTTCATTCTATCTATCTTCTTCTGGTCCTTCTTTGTCTGGTCTATCTTTGTCTGGCCCATTTTCACCTAGTCCTTCTTTGCCTGGTAATCAAAGTTGTGCTCAAGTACTTTCGTTAAATAATCAAAGTTGTGGTCAAGTATTTTCACCCGGTTCTTTTCTTTTAATTGTGTTTTAACAAACTAGCTATACTTTTTATACTGCAACTGTATTAATTTTTTTTTATATAATTTTGCAATCAAGGTTGTGATAGTTCAGTGTCTTTGCTTTCTTCGTTCAGTAATAAATGTTGTGGTCAAGTGCTTTCACCTAGTAATTATGATTGTGGTCAAATACTTTCGCCCGGTAATCAAAATTGCGGTCAAACACTTTCTTCTGGTAATCAATGTTGTAGTCAAATATTTTATCCAGTTTTTTTTTTAAATTGTATCTTAACAACCTAGCCATATTTTTTATACCACAACTATATTAATTTTTTTTCTTTTTGTAACTAAGGTTGTGCTAGTTCAGTAATATCACTCTCTTCATCTGGTAATCAAAGTTGTGGTCAAAAAGTGCTTTCGCCCAATAATCAAGGTTGTGCTCAAATGTTTTCACCTAGTAATCAAGGTTGTGGTCAACTGCTTTTGTCTGGTAATAAAGGTTATGGTCAAATGCTTTCACCCGGTAATCAAGGTTGTGGTCAAATGCTTTTACCTGGTAATCAAGGTTGTGGTCAAGTGCTTTTGCCCGGTAATCAAGGTTGTGGTCAAATGCTTTCACCCAGTAATCAAGATTGTGGTCAAACACTTTCTTCTGGTAATCAACATTGTAGTTATATATTTTCACCTGGTTCTTTTTTACTTTTTATGCTACAACTGTATTAATTTTTTTTATATTTTTGTAATTAAGTTTGTGTTAGTTCAGTGACTTCGTTTTCTTCGCCTGGTAATCAAAATTGTAGTCAAGTGTTTTCATTCAGCAATCAAGGTTGTGGCCAAGTGTTCTTGCCTAGTATTCAAGGTAGTAGTCAAGTATTTTCACCTGGTTTTTTTTTTTAATTGTATTTTAACTAGTCATACTTTTATATTGCAACTGTGTTAATTTTTTTATTTTT